TCGGCGGCCTCATAGTCGGCATCATCAGTGACTTTTGCCATTCTCCGCACCAGGCTACGAACTGGTCAAAGAGACAAGTGAAATCATGTCGACTATGATGCCGAAGAAACGTTTAAAAATGTACCAAGTCCACTGTCTGATGCTGGGAATCATGACAACTACTATGGCAGACGACTTCGGACTAGGTGTAGATGCCGGCGAAAAGTTTTATAATGCACCAAGTCCACTGTCTGATGCTGGGAATCATGACAACTACTATGGCAGACGACTTCGGACTAGGTGCGTTCAAGTCGGCCTGACAACAAGACCAAGTTGCGACAACGAGGTCAACCCACTTCTACAAATCGAAAGGAGACTGCGACCATACCACAGGTCACAACATCTTTGTCTTCATATCTTCGGTCGGTTGTGTTCTATTTTTCATTTCCAATTGAGCCTGCCATATGACCTAAGGGCACTAGTGAAAATGTGGCGTAGTGTTTGACTTGTCTAGTTTATATGCTGCACTATTACAGTACGAGTCCGGCTGAGTTTGCTGATGGGGTCTAGGCGAGGTCGAAACCAGAGTCCACGCAAGAAGAGAATATCTTTTGGGAAGCAAGGCTATGTGAAATTCAATTGAAACGTGAGGTCTATGCATATCATTCCTTTATCCCCTGCAATGAAATAGGATGAACACATCTTAGTATTTTAGTGCAATGCACTCACAAGGCCATGCTAGCCGCCTTGAGCCCATGGGAATTATCGCAGAGACGGGGTTTGGGGACCACCACTGAGAAGTCCTCGGGCCTAAACACATGTTCGGTTGCCTCTTATTTCGACGGCATGAATTCATGCTCACCTCGAGGAGTGCTGGTTTGGCCCACATCATCCGACCCAGAGATGATTTGGTCTGCCTGCTCCGGCAACCAGACTTCTGTACCCTGTCCTCAGGTTACTCATGAGGTCTCGATTCCGTAGCCCATGCACCCCCATCTTCTTGGTCCACTAAGCGCACTCTCCTTTCTCCGCTTATGCTGACTGGATGAAGCTAGTTAATTCTCTTGTCCCCTTCGCAGCAGCCTCCGTCTTCGCCCCAACTTTGGCCTGACTTTTCTTCCATCGTCTTGCCAACCTATTGCTTCTGTGCCTCCGGATCACATGCCACAGGGGCCAGATGCAAATGGCCCTACTGAATCGAGACTGGACAGATAAAATTGTCCCGACAAGCCGGCAGAGCCCCATCAACGCTTGGTCGGTGGCCAGTAGGCACGTATAGAGGAGGGTAATCGACTTGAAACAGAGGGACCAACACACCTGCGCACATAAATGTCAGCATCCGCCCAAACAGGCAAGCTTAATGAGTTACAAACGCCTTCATGTAATACCCAATCAGGCCTGCAAACAAGCCGAGCTCTAGTGTCGCCAACTCGTCGTTGTAGTCGGGTCACTCCAAGTCTCTAAGTTGATATAATGGGCGACTTTTATATCCTCATAGCACCGGCAATGACGAGGGCTCTGTCGATAAAGGCGAGATTGATAAGTCTCATTTATGGCGCTATAATCGTTGTGCCTTTTTCACTAACCTAAGGCCGGTGTAGGGTGTAAGCAGGCGAAAAAGGGTAATTTTAGGCCAGATACCAAAGTTTAAGCTGAATCGGAGTGTTTATGCGGCTGCTCTTTTTTATCAACTAGTTACCACGACTTTTGAGAATAAGACGCAGCAAATTGGGCATTCAGGAAAATATACGACTGAAATAGCATGGAAATAGGACTCTATGGTTGCTATGTACAACTAAGGTGACCATTGTACCAGTGTCTACTTTCGGTTTCTAAGTCTTCTACTTTGTTTTTCGAATTAAGTATTGTTTTCGTGACTATCAGTAAATCAGTAATATGAGATAGCAGATATACGTTTGCTTCATCGAGGAAGGCCAGGCCTTTTTGTTATATCATATTCTTTTGGTGGAATTGTCGATGAATCAAACGTATATCTGCTATAACAATCGACTACTATA